ATGAAAGAGTTTAATAACTTTTCATTTTGATTGCAAGACAGACATTTGGCAACAGTACATTTGAACTGGTACAATGTGTCTTTCAGGTGTGGCCCAGACTCTTCAGTCAGCTATCTGCTACTCTTGTCATTTTCTTCTCTTCTGAGCTTGGTGATGCTTGTCTTAGTTTAAATCAAGTGCTAGAAATAGCCATCAGAGTCCATTCAGGTGGAGAATGAGAGATGTGAATCCACGAATTAATGTCTCTCAGTTTGTCAGTGTATGGATTAGGTAATAATATCTGATAAGTTTCTTTCTATGGTGGCTGCAAAGAATCATTTTCTAATGTCCTTTCCAATAAGCAAAATTTCTGGACTATAATCCATGATCCTTCCCATCTCCTGGGAGCTCTTTGTAAAAGTAGTTCCCAATTTTTAAAAAGTATCTCAATAATGTAATGTGTTTCCTTTGAGCCATCTTGGGTGAAAATTTGCAAAATATTGTTTTCCCCGTAAAACTACTTTCTCAGATGTCCAATGTACATGATGAAGTATCAGCAATTGGGTTTCAATAGACACTAATGTTTGGTTTGGTTTTATTAGAGCTAAACCATATTTGTGTGCTGGGGTCAAAATTCCTCCTTTTTGTTGCTGTATCTGTTTCTCTTCATTAGTAGCAATTTCTTGAACCTGTAGGAAAAAACCTTTTATTGGGTTAGCAGGGTTAATGGAGAAAAGTGGACATTTTCACAGCTGGACAGAATAAATATTTAAAGCTGCCTGTTTGGCTGCAGCATCAGCAAGTGATTCCTTTTAGCTTCCATAGTGTCAGATTTGGAATGCCCTGGTGTCTTAATAATTGATAACTGCTTTGGCAGTTGTATAGTAGCTATATAGCAGTTAATAACTTGTCAATAAGTTTTCTTTCTTTTTTTTTTTTTTTTGTAAGTTGCCCTGAAGCTGTTAAAAACTTTATTGTTGGGATGTCTCTGGTGATCCAGTGGCTAGACTCCACATGCCCAATGCAGGCGGCTGGGTTCAATCCCTGGTCAGGGAACTAGAGCCCACATACCGCAGTGAAGACTGAAAATCCTAATTGCCAAAACCTAGATTGGGCACATTCAAACAAATAATTTTTTAGAAGTACTCAATGTTTTCATGGCATTCCAAAGTTGTGTACCACTCCAAAAACATAATGACTGTCAGTATAAATATTTGTTACCTGGTCTTTAACTGACAAACTAAAAACTTAAGGCAATTAATTTGGCATATTGTGCTACCTTTGTTTCTGGTAAATAAGAGCTTTCAAATTATGTTCACTGTGGTGTTATTGCATATCCAGCTCAATAATGTCCCTGCTCATCCTTTATGTAGGACCCATCCATAAAACCAATTATATCAGTATTATCAATAGGGGTTTCTTGTGTTAACATGTCCTTCCTGGGAGCAAGATGTTAATCCAATCTGTTAACAAAATGCAATCATTTTTTTTTCTTGTTGTGATGCTGGAAGTTGCAAGACTAGAGTAGATCAAGCCAGAATAGTGTTGGGAATTCCCTGGCCACCCAGTGATTAGAACTGGATGCTTTCACTGTGGGGCATCTAGGTCTGATCCCTGGTCAGAGAACTAAGATCCTGTAAGCTATACCACTTGGCCAAAAAAACAAAACAAAACAAACCCACAAAAACTAGGGTACTAAAGCAACAATACTTCATAAGAAGTCTGTTGGCTTGTAGAATTGTGTGACGTGTTTTGAAAGTATAGAAGAGACCCGATTGACTGTGAGACATAGTTAAAGGAGACCCCATTGCTACGTCTTTAGTAGCCTTCCATAAGAGAGTCATTTCTGAAATAACCATCACACAAAGTGAAAGTCCCTTTGCTACCAAGTTTAGTTTTGTAGCATAAAAGCAAGTCATCGACAAGCATTTTTGTAAAAGCATTGGAGTAAGACAATAACTGTCTACGAGAGCAAAAGACTTACGCATGGCTAAAGACCTGATAACAATGCAGTCGTCAAAGAAATTTGGCTATTTCTGAGACATACAAATGTTAAGATATTAATAATAGCTAGAAGCATGACTGCATCATGGAATACTTAAAATTTGGGGAACTTCATATAATTTCTAGAACATTTGTATTAATAAATGTCCGACAACATTGTCCATATCACATTTGGCTCCATATTAACTCCCCTAGTCAACCTGATGAAGGGGTTCTGGAGAATATGAGGGGCGGGGCCAGAGGGGCGGGCTAATAAATTGGTTCAAGGCCGAGGGAGGAGGGGGCCTGACAGTGAGAAGTGAGCGGAGGGGTAGAGATTGGATAGTCGGTGGGAAGGTGGGGCACGGGGCGGGGCCGGGTGGGCGGTGCTAGTCTTAGGGAGGGGCGGGCCTATAAAAAGGGCAGACTTGGCGATGGAAGTACAGAACGCAAGGTGACAGGCTAGCCCACCAGGAGCACTGGCTGAGATGCAGGGTATGACTCGGGTCTGCGAGGCCACGGGGGTGGGCTGGGTGGGGGTCATCTGCGCTGTGCTATGCTGCCTGTGGAGGAAAGTGTCTGCAGTAGTTGGCTGGCAAAGCATAGGTTGAGAGTTTGGGGACTTGAGGATGGGGCTGGTGAAGGTGGGGAGGATGGAGAGGCAGCTGACAGGGTTTGGAAATGGCACTCTTGGAGTGCAGCTGGCGGAGGCTGGCCGTCGAAGCTGCAGGTCCCTGATGTTTGGACACTGACTCTCCCGCAGCGGCAACCAAGCCTGGAGAGGAGACCATGTGTACCTCAGCTTCCAGAAACTGGCCAGTCAGTGTTTGCTCTCTGAAGCCTGAACCCAAGGAGGCACCGGGCCCGAACCAACTGCCCATCGAGATGCTCCGGGAGGTGCTGAGCTACCTGCCCCCACGCACGCTGCTCCGGCAGTGCCGCCCGGTGTGCCGGCGCTGGCGAGACCTGGTAGACGCCTGGTACCTGTGGCGGAGCATCCTGCCCTGGAAACACCCCGACCTCTGGCCCGTCATCTGCACCTGCCTGCCCCCTGTTGACGAGCCCGGGCCCTGCATCCTGGGCCGCTTCTGCGAGCGCAGACCCATAGGACGCAACCTCCTCCGGACCCCTCGTGGCCTAGGTGGGGAGCCCAGGAAAGAGGTCTTACTCCAGGGAGAAGGTGGAAGGGGCCAGACGCATGGGGAGCTTGGACTCTGTGAACCGGGTGGAAATGGATCCCAAGAGAAAAGCGGGAGTTCCCCCAAGGGAAACCCCTGGGGAGACTTATCCCTGGGCGGGTGGGTTGGCAAGGAACTTGGGCACTAACTGTTTTCATTTAACAGGAGGCTTCCAGAAATGGACCGTGCTGAGCCGTGAAGATGACTGGTCGGAGGAGAAGGAAAACTTGGAGGTCATGCCAAGGGCCTATATGCAAACCAGCTTCCTGTCTTCCTACAGGTGAACGTCCCTCTTCCCCAAGGGCCAGGGTGGTTGTTGAGTACTTGCCCAGGTTCTCATTGACCTTTCCCCCTCTTTCCTAGGAGGTATCGCAAGAAGCAGGTGCTGGACCTGGAGAAGGAGGGTCTGTGGCGCGAACTCCTGGATAGTGGAAACATTGAGATCTGTGTCTCTGACTGGTGAGTGTCATGACAAAAACGGCCCTTCAGCTGAGCTGATCTTGGCTTGAAATTTTTTAAATTTCTAATTATATTCTTTGTATGTACCTGTGTGGGGTTGGCACAGAACAGTATGAATGGCAAATGAGAAGAACATAAAATACATGAATATGAAATTAGGACAAAATTCTCTGGGAGAAGTAGAATGGACTTCTACGTCTAAGAAGTGGGGTGCTGGGAAGTCTCTGTAAAAAGACATAACTGTATTTACACCAGTTAAGATTCTTATTTTTAATTTCTATCACCAAAAAAGCATATATCTTGGTTGTGCAATGCAGTGAATTATTACAAAGTGAACACATTCATTTCAATAAAGAACAGAACATTGCTAGCAAACCCCACCCTCATCATCCCTCATGCTCTGTTCCCCATCACTTTCAACCCATGGGTAGTACCATCCTGAATTCTGTTGCCATAGATCAGTTTTGTTCATTTGGACATTTAATATATATGGAGTCTACAGTATATAGTATGTATCTTCTTTTTTTTAAATTTTTTTTTAAAGCCTTTTTTTTAAAAAATATTTATTCATTTATTTGGCTGCACCAGGTCTTAATTGCAGCATGTGGGATCTAGTTCCCTGACCAGGGATCGAACCTGGGCCCCCTCCATTGGGAGCTCAGAGTCTTAACCACTGGGCCAGCAGGGAAGTCCCATGTATCTTCTTTTAATCAATAACATGTTTGTAGATTCATCCATAATTGTATGGAACTGTTGTTACTTTACTTTCACTGGTTTAGAATATTCCATTATGGGAATATACCATAATTTATCTATTTACCACTGAAGGACATTGGATGTTCTGTCTTTGAATCTTGTTGGGTATCCCATCACTGATTTATGTAGATTTCTCTATGCTGCGCTGTGCTCAGTCACTTCAGTTGTGAGCCCATGGACTGTAGCCCACCAGGCTCCTCTGTCCATGGGATTCTCCAGACAAGAATACTAGAGTGAATTGCCATGCTCTTCTCCAGTAGATTTCCCTGGATCTTTTTAAATGATTGAAAAGAAAATTGTCTTAAAAACATCACCATTGTACACATTGGAAGTCACATCTTTTGCCACCAGTGGAACACAGAATGAGAAATAATATGTGAGGAAGTACCTTGAAGAGCATGGTTCTAGTTCATTACTTCTGAAATGAATGTGCATGCAGGCTGACTGGAGAGCTTCTTTAGTGTAGACTGATTCATTGGGGATGCAGAGGGGCCAAGCTCCAACGTGACACTGATGGTATAAGTCCTGGGGACCACAGAACTATTTTGCACTTGCATGCAAGAGAAGGCCATTCAGATGAAGCAGGTAGACCCACAGCGAGATGGGAAGGCAAGTTTAATCTTCAGGTTTTTCCTTCTCCCACAGGCGGAACGACCGACAAGGAATTGACTGTATATATCAGGTAACTGTCCATCTTCTAGATGCCAACCAGGCCATCCTGGACTATTTCTCTCCGCTGCCTTTTCCCATCCGGCGTGGTAGAAACAGTGTCTCTTCTCGGGTGAGTCTCTGCAGGGGTGTGGGAAAGGACAGTGGAGCTTATGATGATCTATGGCTGCATAAAAACCTGCCCTCAAATATAGTGACTTCATAACAACAGCACTCATTTTATCATGTTTCATGATTTCTATGAGGAGGGCTCTGCTGGGAGTTTCTGGCTCCAGTCTCTCAGGTAGTTGCTTTCACACACTGGCTGGAGCTAAAGGGCAGGGTAGGCTGTGAGTGTGTACACAGCAGCTGGTGGCTGGCCAAGCAGCTCTTGGTTTAGTCTCAGAGCCTGGCCATAGGATCTCCCTGTTTGCTCTAGTTGGGGCTTCCTCACGGCAGGGCGGCTTCGGAGCAGGCAGCTGCTTCCTGGCGGCTCAGGCTCCACCATGAGCCTTCTGGAGAAACCAGCAGAAGCTGCATTGCCTTTGTGACCCCGCCGTGGAAGTCACTCCGTGAAAGTCAGTCAGCATCACTCCCACCACACTCTTGGTTACAAGCAAACCCTCCCAGATTCAAGGGGGTGGGGATTAGACCCCACCCCTGGGTGAAGAGTGGCATGATTCTAGAAGGACATGTGAAAGTGGAGACATTGTTGCAGCCATCTAGGGAAAATACCACCTGCCAGAAGCTCTCAACTCAGCTTTTGAAGCCACACTGAGAATTAACCTTTTTCTGTCTACAGGCCAGCCACGTGTTCTCCAACATCAAGAAGGGCGTCCGCTTTGTGTCTTTTGAACGCCACATCTGGGACTTGGAGTTCAGAAATGAGCAGTATGGAGTCTCTCTGATGAACTCTAGTGTCATCGTGCGGGTCTGTCTACCCTAATCAAGGGCTGTCCTTGAAGACTACCTGACCTTCCTTCCAGGAGCTGGGACCATTGGCTGAGCCATCTCAGTACCTGTATTGATTGTATTGTATGTAAAATTACTTTGTCATTTTGAAATTCTTTTCAAATATGGAGAGAATAATTAAGGAACATCTTTCCAGTCATAGGTAATACATATAATCCAATTTTGCCAAAAATGTCTCACCTCTTTTTTAATAGAAATACATTGTTACTGCCTTGGTGACTACTTGGTTCAGAGTAAGGAGTTGTTTCAGTTGAGGAAAAACTGTGCAGAAGAAAACATCAAGAGAAGGTGTTCTCCAGTGGAGAGAATGGAAGAGTCAGAACCCTATGTGCCAAGTCCTAAGGAAATCATGGGATCAAAAGTTATCAGGGTTAAAAGCCTCGGGCAGGCGGTAGATGTGGGCACAATGTCACAGTGACACCACATTTGTGACATTCTGGTCACGAGGGTGAGAGAAAACTGTGCAACAGCAGGATCCGACTGTCCCCACCCCAGTCCAGGGGTCATGGCTGCCCCTCCCGGCTGCAGGATCCCTAACTAGTGCCAGGTCTCCGGATGGAAAGCTGATGAAGCTGCTGCTGCCTTTGATGTGTCCACCCTGAAGTGTCCTCCCACCTGCAGTAGAAGATGGGACACACCCTGAGGGGAGGGTGTCTTGTCAGTTTCATCCAAAGGGGAGTTGACAGGTTGAAACAGACCTAGGAGTTGTGACTACATGTAATGTGGGTCCTGAAGGAACCTGTGTGGTCCTTCCTCCTGACCTAATGAGCTCTATTGCTCTGGCGTGGGTTGTAGTTAGGACAATTTAGCTCTGGAGGATATTTTGGGGTCAACTGGAGGAATTTGGATATGAGGAATGAGTCAGGCATTTACAGAAAGTTAACGGTGGAGACAACTGCCCTAAAGAAAAAGCAATCACTGGTCCAGTGGTTAAGAGTCTGCCTACCAATGCAGGGGACATGGATTCGACCCCTGGTCCAGGAAGATTCCACATGCAGAGGAACAACTAAGCCTGTGGGCCACGACTACTGAGCACAGGCTCTAGAACCTGTGCTCCACAAGAGAAGCCACCGTAATGAGAAGCCCATGTGCCACAACTAGAGAAAACCTGCACATAGCAACAAAGACCTAGTACAGACAAAAACGGATGAATAAGAAAAAGTAAAGGCAACCATATAATTTAATTTGGACATACATATGCACTTCTATTTTTATTGTACATGTATGCATATGTGTAAGTATGTATGGGCTTCCCAGGTGGCACTAGTGGGAAAGAGCCCACCTGCCAATGCATGAGTTGTAAGACTCAGGTTCAGTCCCTGGGTCTGGAATATCACCTGCAGGATGGCATGGCAACTTATTCCAGTATTCTTGCCTGGAGAATCCCATGGACAGAGGAGCCATTTGGGCTACAGTCCATTGTATACTCACAGAGTCAGACACAACTGAAGTGACTTAGCACACACCCATGTATGTAGGTATGTGTGTTATATATACATATTTACATATGTACATGTGTGTATATGTATGTGTGTGTATATGTGTGTGTGTGTGTGTATATATATATATATATATATATATATATATATATATATATACAAACATACACCTTTTTAGGCCACAACAACATGAAACTAGAAATCAACTACAGGAAAAATAATTATTCCATGGAAGCTAAACAACATGCTAGTAAAAAAAAAAAAACAATGAGTCAATGATGAAATCAAAGGGAAAATTAAAAAAATATCTTGAGACAAATGACATTGAAAACATAACCATGCAAAATCTATGGGATGCAGCAAAAGCAGTTCTAAGAGGAGCATTCATAGTGACACAGGCTTTCCCAAAAAACAAACAACCAACAAGCTCTGACATAAACAACCTAACCCACCACCTAAAGAACTAAGAAAAAAGAAGAATAAAGAAAGCCTAAAGTCAGTAGATGGAAAGAAATAATAAAGCTCAGAGAGGAAATAAATAAAATACACTTTTTCAAAGAATAAAAAAATCAGGAGCTAGTTTTTTGAAAGGGTAAAGAAAATAGACAAAGCTCTGGCCTGCTCTCCAAGGAGAAAAGAGAGAGGACCCAAATAAATAATATAAGAATTCAACAAGAAAAAATGCGGGGAAAAAAATGGGAATTCCCTCATGGTCCAGCGGTTAGAACTCTGTGCTTCCATTTCAGGGGCACCAGTTTGATTCCTGGTCCAGGTACTAAGATCCCACATGCTGGACTTCCCTGGTGATCCAGTGGTTAAGAATCCATCTTCGAATGCAGAGAACATAGATTCAATCCCTGGTCCAGGAAGATCCCACATGCCACGGAGCAACCAAGCCCAAGAACCACAATTACTAAGTCCATGTGCTGCAACTACTAAAGCCTCCTCTCCTAGAGCCCGTGCTCCCCAACAAGAGAAGCCACGACTGTGAGAAGCCCACTCACTGCAAAGCGTAGCTCCTGCTCTCCCCAACTGGACAAAGCCGAGGCACAGCAAATAGGACTCAGCACAGCCAAAAAATAAGTAAAGTGAATACGTTTTAAAAGAAAGAGGAGAAATAGCAACAGATATTACAGAAATTTTTAAAAAATTAAGGGAATACTATGAACAGTTATATGCCAAAAGATTAGACAACCTAGAAAAAATAGACAAGTTTCTAGAAACATACAACCCATACAACAAAACTGCATCAGGAAGAAATAGATAGATCGCTAGCTGAGGTCATCAGGCGTCCAGAAAGCCACCCATTGTCTTCGAAAGGAGGTAGGACAAAATATAAAAGATAAAAAGAGAGACAAAAGAGCTAAGGACGGAGATCCGTCCAGGGAAGGGAGTCTTAATAGAGGAAGTTTTCCAAACACCAGGAAACCCTCGCACTGCTGGGTCTGGGGGAAGTTTTTGAATCTCGGAGGGCAACCTGACTGGGAGGGGAACAATAAGTAAAACCCACAGATTACGTGCCTAAAAGCAACTCCCAGCAGAAAAGTACCCCAGACACCTGCATCCGCCACCAGCAAGGGGGGGCGGAAGGGAGAGGAGCGGGCGGCATTGCTTAGGGTAAGGACCAGGTCTGAGTGCCCTGAGGACAATCGGAGGGAGCTTTTGTGAGTTACCAACTTAAACTGTGGGACAGCAAAAGAGAGAGAGAAAATTAACCGGCCTGAACACACTGCTGGCCATTCGCAGAACGAAGGGACCAAGCAAGTCCAGAGAAGAGCTCGCAGGCTGCGGACCGGCCCAGCCTCGCCGGAGGCTGGAGGCAGTGGGGAAGGGAAAGGGGCAGGCTCGGCCCCAAGGACCGCATCCCCTACCACACTGCCAACAGGCCTCCAGTTTCTAATCAAAGATCTCCTGAGATTCTGGATGTTCGACATCCGCCGGGAGGGTAGCGGCGAGACACAGGGTGCAGGCACCCGACCGGCGCGGGCGGGGACTGGGGCTGGGGACCCGGAGGGCAGAAGGCGCATGCACCGAAACGGACCGGCACGGGCGGAAACTGAGACTGGGACCACGGAGGGGAGAAAGCGCGCCGCACCCGGGGAGAGTGTGCCCGTCAAGCTCCTGGCTGCCTGAGCCGCTCGGACGGGGAAGGCACAAAACGCAGGCACAGCTTTTTGTTCCGCGCTTTTGTGGAACACACGAGGCCTGGAACCGCGCGCAGCGCAGGGCACGCTCCATATAGAGCAGCCGGGAGCCTGAGCAGCGTAGACGAGGAAAGCAGTGCCCGTCCCTCCTCGCAGCGCGACGGAACTAGCAACCTGAATAAGAGTCCGCCTCCGCCCGCCTGTGTCAGGGTGGAAATTAGGCACTGAAGAGACCGGCAAACAGAAGCCAAATAAACAAAGGGAACGGCTTCAGAAGGGACCGGTACAACAGATTAGAATCCCTGTAGATAATACCGACTACACCGGAAGAGGCCTGTAGATATCGAGAAGTGTAAGCTGGAACGAGAAGCTATCTGAAACTGAACCGAACCCACACTGACCGCAACAGCTCCAGAGAAATTCCTAGATACATTTTTACTTTTTTTTTTTAAGTAAAAAAAAATTTTTTTTCTTTTTTCTCTTTTATTTTCTTTTAAAATTCCCTATTACCCCCCCCATTACTCCTTAACTTTCATTTTCATAGATTTTTACGATTTTTTTAATTAGGAAAAAAATTTTTTTTCTTGTTTTTTTTTCTTGTTTTTCCTTTTTCTCTTCTATTTTCTATTTTTCTTTTTCTCTTATTTCCCTTTAAAGTCCTCTATTACTCCTCTACTACTCCTTAATTTTCATTTTCAATACACTATAATCTTACAAAAAAAAAAGAAAAGCCCTATTTTTAAACCAAACTTCATATATATTTCTAATTTTTTTGTGTGTTTTGGTTTTTGTTTTTAATATAGTATTTTTAAGAGTCTAACCTCTACTCTAGATTTTTAATCTTTGTTTTTCAGTATATGACATAAATTGTGGACATTTAAGAATCCAATATTCAGTTCCCATTTTTATTCAGGAGTGTGTTGATTACTCTCTCCCAATCTTGACTCTCCGTTTTCTACCTCAGAACACCTCTATTTCCTCCTTTCCCCTTCTCTTCCCAATCCAATTCTGTGAATCTCTGTGGGTGTCTGGGCTACGGAGAACACTCTGGGAACAGACAACTGCGTAGATCTGTCTCTCTCCTCTTGAGTCCCCCTTTTCTCCTCCTGCTCACCTCTATCTCCCTCCTCCCTCTCCTATTCTTCATGTAACTCTGTGAACCTCTCTGGGTGTCCCTCACGGGGGAGAATCTTTTAGCCATTAACCTAGAAGTTTTATTATCAGTGCTGTATAGTTGGAGAAGTCTTGAGACTACTGGAAGAATAAAACTGAAATCCAGAGGCAGGAGACTTAAGCCCAAAACCTGAGAACACCAGAAAACTCATGACTACATGGAACTTTAAATAATAAGAGACCATCCAAAAGCCTCCATACCT